ACAACAGAGGGGTGTAAGAGGGGAGAAGTCCAACCACACCTCCCTGGGCCCTTGGAATATTCAAACAAATTCTGGTCTGTTACCAAAGTGACAATAGCACCCAATAAAGAGAAATTGGACATGACAACTGTGTGTAAATCTGACTGCCTGGAAGGCCAGGTGATCTCTGGATAACCAACCAACAGCGGTAGAACTTCAACTTGGAGCTACATTAGAACCTCCATGAGAGGACACTCGCTCTAGAGAACACCTCTCTACAAAGGACAGTTTCCATTTGAAAAATTACCATTTTTACTATTTAGAAACTCTCCGGAAAGAGGACACCTCTCCTTAAAGGACAATTTGACTCTTCAATTAGGTGTACTTTACAGGGAGATTCTACTGTACTAGCTTTCAGTTTTCCCTACCTGGTATTCTGCCTCCAGAAGTTCCGTCTTGTCAGCATGGGTCTCCAGTGCGGATCCCACTGGCACAGAGCTGGTTGTTGGGGACAGTGGTACAATCTCCATGGCAACCTCATCCACCACCGTGTTCTTTAGGTCATCCTTGGAGGCTCCTGATCCATTCCAGCAGAGATATATCGGGCATAGTTTACACGACTGACATTTTAGAGTAGAATGCTACTGCTTAGATATTGTTGCTTTCCACTTATGTAAGTGTAACAAACCAATATAGAATAATAAAGAGACAAAGGTTGCCTCTCCCGTCAAAATAGACGTCAAAGACAGACACTATCTATTGACCGTCGCCGCAAACTAGTAGCCTCGGGTTGGTGACAAAGCCACAACACCAGCTTTGGCAAACTGAAAAGCGTCCACCTAGAGACCATGGTTTTGGGCTAATGGCCCTCATCAGCCTAGAGTAGACTTTATTCCATGAGATCCACACGGGATCTAATGGAATCTTGACAATCTGCCAAAGAGGTGTTTAGCTGGCAAAGTGGCTGGGCCAAAAATTCCATATAGAGCAAAATAATATATTGCTGCAATATATTGTTTTAGTCTCCTCTCTACATCTTAATGCAATGAAAGGTTAAGTTACACTTATGGAGACAAAACTTAAGGAAGTTGTACCTTTTAGCATGTATATTGGGATACAGACAATAACTCTGAAAGATATTACAGTGATATTTATTGAAGACGCACAAGATAACCAAGTGCGAACACAATTGACTCTGTCTCTTAAAAAAAATAAAATAAAATAAGACTACCAATGATATCAAAGAATTTCTACTTCCTTAAGTTTTGTTCATGTGTGTATTTGGGAGGTCTTGGCTCAGCAGTGAAGAACCCTCTCAGAGATTTTAACAAGTCTAGACCTCCCCAACTAATGTACTAGATAGCTTATAGAGTATGTACCAATTGTGAGGAAGGCTTGGTATTTTAGTGAATCTATCGACATAAGTTTCACAAATTTTACTCACTAGATGAAACTTAAATACTTCATTGTTCCTATTCTGTGAGGAGAAATATTTTGGGTTGAGACAGGTTGTAAACACCATTGCTAAAATGGGGCTTTATAAAAGTGTTTATGATATAGATTTTATTACGATGCACTAGCGTGCCATCTGTTATCAAATTATGAAACTATTTTAGACGTGTAATATTCTTTTTAAAATAAAACAATTTCTACTGCCCTTACTGCAATGGAAAAATTAAAGGGAGGGCCTGGCTCATCAGTGGTGAACCCTCCCAGCGGTTTCGCCAGTTTAATCTACCATACCGCTGTTATATTGCATTTTTGGAACTTCCTTTTATAGTGATACTGATGCTTGACTCTTCGAATGGGTATTTAGATAATAGATTTTATGGTAAAAGTATCAGAGAGTTTGTCACCAAAGGTTTAAAATCTATTGCCCCTTGTGTTGTCAGAGAAAAACAAACTGCCATCTGAAACAATTAGTTGTCTCAGTGATATGATGCAATTTGGATTATGTATAAGAAACACAGAGTAATAAGACAAATTCCAAATGACATATAGAGTATACCTCCTTAATATTTAACTAACCATACAACATTTATCCAACCATACAACATTTATCCAACCATACAACATTTATCCAACCATACAATTCAACATTTATCCAACAATTCAACATTTATCCAACCATACAATTCAACATTTATCCAACCGTACAATTCAACATTTATCCAACCGTACAATTCAACATTTATCCAACCGTACAATTCAACATTTATCCAACCATACAATTCAACATTTATCCAACCATACAATTCAACATTTATCCAACCATACAATTCAACATTTATCCAACCATACAATTCAACATTTATCCAACCGTACAATTCAACATTTATCCAACCATACAACATTTATCCAACCATACAATTCAACATTTATCCAACCATACAACATTTATCCAACCATACAATTCAACATTTATCCAACCGTACAATTCAACATTTATCCAACCATACAATTCAACATTTATCCAACCATACAACATTTATCCAACCATACAATTCAACATTTATCCAACCATACAACATTTATCCAACCATACAATTCAACATTTATCCAACCGTACAATTCAACATTTATCCAACCATACAATTCAACATTTATCCAACCATACAATTCAACATTTATCCAACCATACAATTCAACATTTATCCAACCGTACAATTCAACATTTATCCAACCATACAACATTTATCCAACCATACAATTCAACATTTATCCAACCATACAACATTTATCCAACCATACAATTCAACATTTATCCAACCGTACAATTCAACATTTATCCAACCATACAATTCAACATTTATCCAACCATACAACATTTATCCAACCATACAATTCAACATTTATCCAACCGTACAATTCAACATTTATCCAACCATACAATTCAACATTTATCCAACCATACAATTCAACATTTATCCAACCATACAATTCAACATTTATCCAACCGTACAATTCAACATTTATCCAACCATACAACATTTATCCAACCATACAATTCAACATTTATCCAACCATACAACATTTATCCAACCATACAATTCAACATTTATCCAACCGTACAATTCAACATTTATCCAACCATACAATTCAACATTTATCCAACCATACAACATTTATCCAACCATACAATTCAACATTTATCCAACCATACAACATTTATCCAACCATACAATTCAACATTTATCCAACCGTACAATTCAACATTTATCCAACCATACAATTCAACATTTATCCAACCATACAATTCAACATTTATCCAACCATACAATTCAACATTTATCCAACCATATAATTCAACATTTATCCAACCGTACAATTCAACATTTATCCAACCGTACAATTCAACATTTATCCAACCATACAACATTTATCCAACCATACAATTCAACATTTATCCAACCATACAACATTTATCCAACCATACAATTTTACATTATCCAACCATACAATTCAACATTTATCCAACCATATTTTCAAATCAGGCTATTTTATTGACCAACCTTGATTCAACCACAAAAATCACTTAGGATATTAAATTAAAGAAGTTTTTTAAACTAATTTATTTACATGATAAGGCACAATTTGGATTATAGATTATAAACACAAGGTAATAAGACCAAATCCAAATAAATAAATAATGTGTGACGTTTCGGTAACAGCGTTGTTACCATCTTCAGACAAAAGTACTGAATGCTTACCATTCAGTACTTTTGTCTGAAGATGGTAACAACACTGAAACGTCACACATTATTTATTTATTTAGATTTGGTCTTATTACCTTGTGTTTATAATTTATTTACACTTATGGACAAAACTTTAGGAAGTGGAAAGTCTTTGATATCGCCGGTCATCTATTCTTTTTTAAGGAGACAGAGATTTTGTTCGCACTTGCTTATTTTGTGTGTCTTCAATAAAGGTTGTCACGGTAATATCTTTCAGAGTTATGAATCCCGAGAGAGATATACATGATGAAAGGTACAACTCCCTTAAGTTTTGTCCATGAGTGTACTAAGATTTGGGTCTTATTACTTAGTCTCAGTGTTGTGTAGAAGAGGTGAGAATCAAGTTAGAGAAATCTCTACAAGATCTACCTTTATCAGCGTTGACAACAAGAATCTTGTGGGAGGGGCTCAATGTGAAGAACTGGGAGAGCCAGAGTGTCCTGGGTACAGGCCAGGTAAAGTTCCGAGTCACAACTTCCCATCCACAGCCACTCACCTCCGAGCTTTAAACACAAAGCCAACAAGGGCCAGGAGAAATAGAACCAGGAAGATGGAGACACAAACTGCTGCCACTAGTCCACCAGGAGGTGTAGAGATTGGTGCAACTGGAAAACCAATAAGAAATAAGTGTCTGTCTGACACTATAAAAATTTCAAACACTCACTGTAAAAGGATTCCGTAGTGAAGTTGAAACTGACTCGAATGGTCTGAAACATTCAGGGTTGTTGTTTCAAGTAAACATGGCTGGTATACTGCCATCCAAGGCTTCATGCTGGGTTCAATGAATAGATATATGACGAGAGAAAAAATGGTTCTGGTTCAATATTGTTATCTCAGCACATTCTATACTCTCTTCACTTTTTAAATATGATATATAAACTAAGGTTATTTATATATACCAAGATAAGTTCTAAAAGAATTGTCAAACCTATATGACATTCAAACAACTTATATTTATCTTGAAGAAGGAATCAAAGTTTACAGCGCAACAAGTTTCTTTTATTTATGTTGTATAATCGGCACAAGCTTTCCCACTTTGACCTCCTTCAACAAGCAACTATCCAAGAAACTAAAGGATAATGTATATAGGAACGAAATTTGAGAATGATCCCCCATGTGTTTCTTTTGAATGAAAAATTGAAATTTATTTTAAGGAGAAATAACGATTATTTCTAACCTTAGGGATGAAGTATGAAGAGTAATGATAAACGGAAAAATGAAGTGTCCAGCTCCCATCCCTGTTTGTATTATAAATTACTTTATAATATTAACGAATGGAAAAATATGTCCAGGGTAGCCTAGTGGACATGGCATCTGCTCGGTAAGCAGAAAACTGTGGGTTTGTTTCCCTTCCCTGGACACTTTTATTTTTCCGTTTATCATTACTCTTCACAATTCATCCTTTCATACCTCATCCCTAAAGATCGAAATAGTCATATTTCTCGATAAGGCACAATTTGGATTATAGATTATAAACACAAGGTAATAAGACCAAATCCAAATAAATAAATAGTGTGTGACGTTTCGGTAACAGCGTTGTTTTTATTTGGATTTGGTCTTATTACCTTGTGTTTATAGTCGTATTTCTCCTTAAAATGAATTTTGATTTTTCATTCAAAAGAAACACATGCGGGATCATTTTAAAATTTTGTTCTACAATCATAAGCCGCATTATATTGTATTATAATGTATACATGTAAATAAACATATACATGTATATATACATTATCCTCTAGTTTCTTGGATAGTTGAAGGATGTCAAAGTCCGAAAGCTTGCCGATTATACAGCACAAATAAAAGAAACTCGTTGCCGTAACCTTTGATTCCTTCTTCAAGATGATGTCTGGTGATTCCTTCTCTTGTAATCTCTTATATTTATCAATAAGTATTCTTTGTTCAGTAATGTTAGTTCTATTTTATAAGCATATGGAGTAATTAAACCAGGTGTATGTTGGGTGACAGTGTATTGAAGCTTAGCCCCGATATTCATAAATGATCTTAGTATGAAGTACATCAAATGTCTGCACATTTAAAAATCAGTTTGACTCTTCACTAGAGTCTTCTTTGGCTAGTTGTTACAAGGTAATAAGACCTAATCCAAATAAATTAATAGTGTGTGACGTTTCTGTAACAGCGTTGTTATCATCATCAGAATTTTTTTTTTTTTTTCTAAATTCTTTTGTATGATGATGGCAACAACACAGTTACTGAAACGTCACACACTATCAATTTATTTGGATTAGGTCTTATTACCTTGTAGGTATAATCTATAATCCTTTATCATTTGGCTAGTTGTATTCACCAATGAAGAGATGTGTTTGGACCACCAATTAAAAAAAGTTAAATGCAGGAATCAATCCTAGCTGTGTGTAAAATTAACATATTGTGACATCTGTCTTCACAAGAGCCAAGACGACGTGGGTCAAGGAAGTTGTTGTTGTTGTTGTTTCTTATCCCCTTGTGTAAAGATTACACAAATCCCATGAGTTCATGATCTCATGGAATGGGGTATAGGGGTGCAGCTTTCGTTGATCATGGCACCATGATCCAGGCACACTTTGGTGAAAGTCTGACTTTGCCTGTAGTTTGAGGCTGTTCCTAACATGGAAGCCTTTGCTGCACTCTAACATGAGTACGGACACAGCTCCTCCGTATTCCTGGAGTGGGACCCTTGTTGAAGTCCTTCAACCGGGTCAGTTGAACTCAGGATTTTGAAAGGGGTAGTGTCCCTCCTGGTTACAGCATCAAGTTTACCAGAACAAGACTTGATATGATCGTGTAGAGGGTTTATTGTACCTCCCAACAATGTCCACTGCACCAGAGGCCAGGTACAGAGGGGTAAGGATGGGAGGGCAGTCAAGGAAGTACTACTGGGGGACAACGAGAGCAAAGAAGGCGTCAGCTGACAAACAGACAGTCTGTGGCCAGGGGAAGACATTCAAGTTATCTCCTGGGCATGTGACCGGTGCCAAGGAGGATCCTTCTGGTGACAGACAATGAAGACAAGTACTACTGTATATTGTTATTAATCCCCTTAAAACTCTTGGAATAAAGTATATCGCACTAAGCTGTATCCACAACGTAATGTTTTCCTAGACACCTTGTATGCAAGAGAGAAAACATTGTACCAATATTAACATGTGAAAATGGAATGAATGGAAATCTCCCTTCTACCTGAGTGGGGGCAAAGTAGCTGTAGGCTGCCAAACCAAAGTGATAGGAGTTGCCATACTGGAGGGGAGGATTGCACATGCCCTCGTAGCAGAGATCATCCCCAACAGTAAAGTTCCACTCCAAAAAGCTATGTGCCCAGTTGACTACGGAGATCTGGGCAGCCCGGTAGATGCCCTCAGTGATGTTGGCTGGAGGAGAGGGCAGCTCCAGGAGTTGTTCCTCACTCTCCACTGTGGCGTTGCCCTCAGCCACCAAGATCCAGAATCCCCTGCACCCAATGTTGGATGGATGCCCTGAGGCTCGTTCAGCTCAACACTCACGTCAGAGGACCTCCGTAGAAGGGCCAAGTGGTGAGGTGCAGCTGGGCCGTGGTGCCACTGATCTCCACTCTCGGGGCATGTTCCACTGGAGGGGCTGTTGACACACCACTCATGTATGAAACTGAGCATCTGTTTCAAGAGGAAAGTATGATGGGGTCAACCATACTTGATTTATCGGGGAAAATTACTTAGACTAATATTTTAAAATAAAATTTGGAAACAAACAAATAAAAATTTAAATCACTTTTTTTTTCAGAAAAGAACAATAAGCAATTTCAATGCTCAGTGTATTATCAGGAGAGAGAAATGCCATCTTCATCATTTATATATAGAGAGACTTTAATGAACAGGTTCTTCTAGGGACAGAGGTGCACTGAGATATATGTAAAATATCATAGAAGGGAAATTTTGGACAAAGGGAGAGAAGTTAGAGCAATACACTAATGGACAAAACTTAAGGAAGTTTTACCTTTTAGCATATATATTGGGATTCAGACAATAACTCTGAAAGATTTTACAGTGACCTTTATTGAAAACACACAAGATAACCAAGTGTGAACAGCCTCTGTCTACTTAAAAATTAATGAATAGACGATCAGTGACATCAAAGACTTTCCACACTGTGTATTTTATCCCAATCTGTGGTGTAGCTGGGATAGAGTTTATATCATGATGATATCTTAGTTTACAGCAGGGTTCAGTGGCCCGGCTGTTTATCAATCTAAAGTCCAACTTTGGGTCCAGTTTGTTGTCCAACTCTCTGTTGACATTGTCTCTCTGAAATAACTCTGAAAGATATTACAGTGACCTTTATTGAAAACATATGAGATAACCAAGTGTGAACAAATTTGTCTCCTTAAAAAAAAAAATAGTTGACCAGTGACATCAAAGACTTTCCACAAAGATACCAACACTAAAATGAAAATGTGAGCAGTCAGGATATGCATTTATTGTTTTTAGTATATATATATGTGATAATATAGTATATATATATATGTGATAATATAGTATATATATATATGTGATAATTAGAAGAGAGACCTTCATTGAGGGTGTAGGCTTGGAGGTAGATAGCAGGCCCATAGCCCACCGAGGTGGAGGCCCTCAGACTGATGTTGTACAGGGAGGCTGGGTGCAGGCCTGTGACATTGTGGGACTGCAAGTCCGGCAACAGCTCCTCACTCAGCTCCCAGCTGAGGTGGGACTCCAGGTAGGAACTCACCGTACTCACTTCTAGCTGTGGACCAAACATTTCTCCCTCAGGTCAGTCTGTTCATCTAGTTCTCCTATGGGTAGATGCTTTAGAGAAATTTAAAAAAAATTATTATCCCTAGTACACCTGTGGTATAGGCTACATGAAAAACGCAATTATTCAAGTGAAGTAGATTACAGCAAATCAATTTATTTTCTGTACATAAATCTCTCTAAGATAAAATAAAATTATTATTATTAACAATCCTACAATAAATCCAACACATACAAGAACTTATTGGAACTACGTATATATTTTTTATTATCCCTAGTACACATGGTACAGGCCATGATAATCATGGTGGGTAGTAGTTGACAACTGCTTTTACCACATGAGTACACCACATGTTTACTCATGTGAAAAGCAGTATGACTTTTGCACTTACATGTCTGCCAGAGCTTTGTTTGGTTACTTGCACTTATTAATGGGGTTAGACTTTTGCAAAAATTGGGGGCCATTGGAGAATTTTTTTTTTTTATTTAGAAAAAAGTGTCCACTGCGGGATTCGATTCCAGGTTATAGCAGTCGAAAACCAATGGTTTAGGCCGTGGTGCAAGTTGTACCTCAATAACAAGGTACAGCTTGCACCATTCAGTTTAGGGCTAACAGCATGGAACGTAGTTAGGTTTTCTTGATTAATCAGGAAAGAGAATTTATCCCATTCTGGGATAATTAAAAATTAACGATCAGTTGATATTTATTCCGATAGATGGTGCAAGCCAACAGCTATTTTTGGTTGAACAATCAAGAGATGCCTTTTTCTAAATTTATCTATCTGATCCCAGTACAATTTCACTTTTCCTCGCTGGCAAGAGTTACAACTATTTGAAAACATGCTGTGGGATTTTTATCATGATTGAGAATTACTCTTCTAATGGCCTTTTACTGCTATTGGGGGAAAAAATCTTTTTCAGGGTCAGTAAAACTGTGTACATAGGCTGTAAATACCCATAAGTGGAGCCCTTGTTGTTAGCGTCCATCAAGTAGATTTAGCCTTATGATGACTATGGACATAGAGTCTCCAATGTGATCTGTTAGTGACCATCACTCACAGCTCTAGTTACCTTATGGCAGTTGCTTGACCCTTTCATTGCAGGTCTTCCTTCAATTTTCCCCAACATCAATACCCTTTCTATACCATTTCCTCTCATTATGTCTGAATTTGTCTTTGCTTGCATATTTGGAATTCTAGGGATCTACACCAGGATTAATTTCATATGACAACTTTGACCTTTTATCTATCCATGGAAACTCCGAGTAGCTTTCTCCATGTCCACATTTCAAATTCTTCAATTATTTTTCATTCTTCTTTACTGAGAGTCCAGCTCCAGTGTAGACCCATCATAACTACACTCATGGAGGGATAAAACTTAAGGAAGTTGTACTTTTTATTTAGCATGTATATCGGGATTCAGTCCATAACTCTGAAAGATATTACAGTGACCTTTATTGTAGACACACAAGATAACCAAGTGTGAACAAATTTGTTTCTGTCTCTTTAAAAAAAGATGACTAGTGACATCAAAAACTTTCCACTTCCATAAGTTTTGTCCATAAACACAAGGTAATAAGACCAAATACAAATACGAGGGTGAGTAGAAAAGTAAGGTCTCC